GGAGAGCCAGGCCCATGACTATCCTAATAATTCAAATGAGTCTGTTCTTATTTGCTGCTCTCTCAGCACCACAGGTGCCAAATGGGCTTATTTGCTGCTCTCTCTCTCTTTTTGGTGACATTGTCTTGTGCTAATGTTCTACAGTGTTTTAAAAGTTTGGTGTAGCTCAGTGGTTTGGAGCACCTCGCTTCAAAGCCAGGAACTAGTGTTCCAATCCCCACTGTTCTCTTAGAAGAGGGGCCAGCTGATACCACCCAGAACACCCACAGAGCACCACCAGAAGAAGAAACTAGCAAACCACTTCTGAATATTTAGAAAATCTCAGGAGGGTTGCCATAAGTCGGAACTGACTTGATGGCATATAATTAATTATTACATAAGCTTGCTATTTTTACTTTTCCTGATTTCACACTTTTCTTGCAACAGTAATTTAGGGGCCATTTTGGAGTGAAAAAATGGCTAAAATCCTCTTGTGTGTGCATCATGAAGCTGTGGCAACATTGAGAAAAGAGCAGCAGGATGGAAGCACTATGCACAGAGCACTTCTGCGTGTGTGCCACCGAATGGACGAAATGAGTCTCATGTGATCTGTTGTGTGATTTAATCTAAATATAACCTAATTATAAAATTATAAAATTGATGCCTGGCAAGCTTTCTGTTACGCAAAGTTGAACAGGATTTCTGCCAGTGGTTTATAAAATGTCATTATAAATCTGATACCCTGTTGTGACTGAAACTCATTCTTTCCCTTCCTTTCTTCTGATTTGGTCCACAGCTTGAAAATTACATAGTTGAAAACATGAAATCAGAGATGGCTCAGCTGCAGCAGAATGCAGTCCAGAACCATACAGCTACCATGCTGGAGATAGGAACCAGCCTTCTAAGTCAGACTGCAGAACAGACAAGAAAGCTCACAGATGTTGAAACACAGGTACTTTCCACTGTTGCATTCCTTAATAAGAAGTAGGGAAATTTGCATACAAAACATGTCACAAGGTTTATCTTACTAGCATAGCATTACTATGCTAGTAACAATACTGTACAATGCATTGTATTCTTTGATTTTCTTGCCCTGATGCTTTTTAGAATAACTTGATGCACTGCATTTTTCTTATCAGTCCACCAGTCCGTGTGTGGATATGGAGATCTTGTGGGAAGGAGAGTGATTTGTCTTACTCTTGGCTGGAGGCAAGAAATCTCCTTGAGCTTTAAAATTCCTTGCTGAGGTTTCTCTTTTTGTTAAGGCATTCTAAATCTGCAACAACATCGAATTTAGTGAGTACTCTTTGCACCCCTGACTTCTGCACAAGACCTTAAACAACTGAAACCCAAATTACCTGAGAGACTGCTATCACTCTTCTTGCACATTGCCTTCAGCCATTAAGGGAATTCCTTTTGATTGTTCTCCACATCCTTTAGATTTGTTTAATGGCTATTCATACCGTACAATTGGACATCATACTGTACAATTGCACTCATACCGTACAATTACACTCATTTCACACGCTAGCAAGGTTATTCTCAAAGTCCTACAAGGTAGGCTTCAGCAGT